TCTCTAAACTGTTAACTAGATTTCAGATCATCTAGCATCTGATGAACCTGACACAGACGATAAATGTTATATCGTTTTAAACAGCATTTTCCCTCAGAAAGCTATTATAATATCTGGAAGTCTTTGCTCTGAGAACTCGACAAACTTTGGTTTCACTTTAAATAAATAACCCCGATCCAGAACATCTGGACCACACAGCGGAGTTTCAGCAGTAAGACAACAACAGCTGGCTTCTACAGCCTTATACCTGGACTTCGTTCGCCTCTTTTCTGAAAATATAAACGGCTCGACTTACCTGTTGCAGTCCAATAAATCTCCGAAAACGAAAAGAGGCCTGCGGTGAGAGCGCGCGCAGTTAGGGGCCGTCTGCAAAGTGCAATAAGATCTACTTTAATTGTAAATAACTTTTGTTTCTCAACATAGAAATCTCAAACCAGTGTTATGCAGCTGCTGCTGTGTAATTTTTAAGGGTGGTCGCTGTCTATATCAGCAGTGGTTTGAAATTTCTATGTTGAAAAACAAAAAAGTTATTCACTTAAAATGGATTGTATGTGCACTGCAGACGGTCCCTAACTAGAAGGGATACTTTCATTTTGTTAATGTGAAAACGGATGTACAAATCGAAGAGGTAACAAACCAGGGCTGTGTTTCTATAGAATTCTGTCCGATAAAGAAAACCCCGAGAGGAGGAGATTTTGTATTTGTGCCATTAAACATAACGTTACTTCTGTCTCCGGGGAGGGCAAACAATGTCAACCGTCCAAATATACACGTATTTGCAACGAACACTTGATCAAAGGTAAGCTCAAGCAACGTTAAACACAAGTAGCCTACATAAAGTGTTGAGCAGTTGTGCGCAACCCCATCAACGCATCCGGATGTCAAGCAACACTTCAGTCATTATCTCTCTTTAGCCTCTTTGACAGGCACATTTATTCAAAAAAGCGAACACATCATCAGACAGAGACAGACGTCTGTTGTCCATACACATGCGCTACATAGAGCGTAGTGACATCATATCATATCATTGTGGCGGCTGTGGCTCAGGAGCAAGAGCGGGTTGGCTGTTAATCAGAAGGGCGGCTGTTTAATCCCTGGCTTTGCGTGTCGAAGTGTCCTTGGGCAAGATACTGAACCCCGTATGAATGTGTGTGAATGGTGGATGTAGTGTAAAAAGCGCTTTGAGTGGTCGAAAAGACTAGAAAGACGCTATACAAATACAGAGCATTTGCACATAGCATAACATGACATAAAAACACAATATTCCATATTGTCAGGTGTGGCATTTTACTCCTTTGCTGCAGGGTATCCACATAATTAACTAATTTTTAAATAAACACAACAGGATCATTACTGCTGGCAGTGCCATACTCGTGCACTTATGCCGTGTAGAGTGTGTTGCTGTTACTGACTGTAGATAATTAAGATAATTACGATAATATTTATGTTATTTAATTAAAAGTACAATTCACACTTTTATATAACGTTTGACTTTGATTTACCTCTTTATTTTTGAAGAGTTACAGGCAGTTATTTGTGCAGACAAACATTCAGTTGACATAAATAAATGTAGAAATGTATAAATATGGAATAGACAATTTAAGTTATATTCAGCCCTAATACCACCGTCTGGAAAGTGAAAAACAGTATGCAGATATTCTTTACCAATTCGGAGGTAAACTGTTTTGCAAAACGTGCAGTTACAGGCAGTTATTTGTACTCCTTTATGTTTCTGCACTTTTGCATTATGTTGCTGTCTGGAGATCAGTAAGATATAGGGCTGGACGATGTTGACATTGTGCCAAAATGTTTCATATCTTTCGATATCCATAATTATCACGAGAAGTATTAAAATATTATTTCTTTCGAGTTTAAAGGCAGATTTTTGCTCCTGAGTGAAAGTTGAAGAAACCTGATGGTTAATTTTGGTTTAAACTCTTCTTTATGGTCAGAACAAACACTTGACAAATCTGAGAACATTTAAAACAAATATAACAAAAATCTTTGTCAACATTATGCACAAGTAAAAGTGGAAGTAAAAGCTTATTTCTGTCCTTTTTCCTAAACAAAATAAACATCTTAATAAAAAAATTAAGTCTAATTTGTGTATGATTCAAGTGAATAAAGTCCAACATTCATTGAATATTTATTAAACATTTGTTTTATTGTTATTGAAAAAAAAATTGAAATATTTATTGTCATTCTTTTCTTTCCAGCCCTAGTAAGATATATTTTTATTTATTTAAACACTATCTAGTAAAGTTGACAGACATTGTTTAACAAGTGCAATCCACATGTTTACATTTCATGTTTATTAGTGACTTTGAATTATCTAAAATGCCAAATGTGGTAATGCCACAGATTTGTTTTTTATTTCTGCAGTCTGCACTTGATTTGTTACTGACTTAAAATGTATGTTTACACCAGGCTAATTTGTAAGTGCTTTTTGCAGTTATGATAATGATTACAAGTTTAAGAGGCTGAAAGTTCAACAAATCAGTCAATATACTGCTGTGGCCTGCCTACAGGAAATAACACTAAATGTTTAATACTATGCAATGATTTATTGCTCGTCTTTGTTGAATAATACAGAAGAAAAAGAGCTTTAAAAAATAATTGATATTAAATCAAAATCACAATATTGGTAAAAATAAATCGAAATTAGATTATTTTCTAAAATCATTCAGAATCCTTCGTCTACTGACAAATACTTTGCCACCACAAAACATACGCAGAGAGTGGCGTATAAGTGGCTATAATACTAAGTAAGTAAAAAAATCACATCAAAAATCACAAAAAGGCCTGGATCCTGGAAGGACTGGTTACACTTTGTAGCCTATACTAAATATGAACTTATGCAGTTCAGATTGTGTACCGTTTATAATAGCTTATAATAGCTAACGTTTGCTTATGCAAGCAAAGCCCCATCTATATTACTTCCATTAGCAGTGACTGTATGACACACCCTTAACAGCTGTTAAAACATCATGCCATTTACTGTTCATCAAGGCTCCCAACGTCTTGTTGAATATACATTTTAAAAAGATAACAGAGAGAACAGACCTAACTGGTCTCAGAAACTAACGGAGGGAGATAAAAGACCGTAAGTCTGTGATGAGAAGATAAAACTGTCCCCTCCCACACTTACACATGCTTTCACAGTAGTAGGAGGCCACCTCTTCACTTCATTCACACAGTCCCAGGCTTTGAGTAAGAGCCAGACGAGGTCACAAGTGGTTCATATTGAGCAGACATATGAAGTAGTAGGAGGAAGTCTTCAGGTATGTGGTTTTCTGTTTGGTGATTTTTTTAAACCCACTTCGGTCTTTGCAGCTTACAGTCAAACCACTTCAACTCTTTCCATGTGACCTTTACCATTTAACAGCCCTGTCCAGTCTGACGACTCCTCCTCTCCCCCTCCCCCACCCGTACCCTCTGTGTGTCTCAATGCTGACCAGGTGAGAACACAGCTGAGGAGACTCCACTCCAACAAAGCTGGAGGTGATGATGGTGCCCAAAGCCTGTGCCCCCCAGCTATGTGGAGTCCTTCACCATTTCTTCAACCTGAGCCTGAGTCTCCAAAGGTTCCCTGTGGAAGACATCTTGTCTCATTCCTGTGCCAAAGACGCCACGTCCCAGTGACTCCAAGGACTACAGACCTGTGGCACTGACTTCCCACATTATGAAGACCCTGGAGAGACTGCTTCTGGAACAGCTGCAGCCCATGATCAGACCTCTCCTGGACCCACTCCAGTTCGCCTGCCAGCCCCGACTGGGAGTTGAGGATGCCATCATCTTCCTGCTCAACCGTACCAATGCCCACATGGACAAGCTGGTGAGCACTGTGAGGGTCATGTTTTTTGACTTCTCCAGTGCTTTCAACACCATCCGGCCGGATGGTAGACGTTTTCTGATGACTCTGCTGTGGTTGGATGTATCAGCAAGGGTGACAAAGCTGAGTACAGAGCTGTGGTGGGGGACTTTGTCACATGGTGCGAGCAGAACCAAATACAGCTACAAAGACTAAGGAGCTGGTTGTGGATCTAAGGAGGTCCAAGGCACCAGTGACCCCTGTTTCCATCCAGAGGAGCAGTGTGGACACTGTGGGGGACTACAAACACCTGGGAGTGCGTATAGATAATAAACTGGACTGGGCCAAGAACACTCAAGCCTTCTACAGGAAGGGCCAAAGCAGTCTCTTTTTCTGAGGAGGCTGAGGTTCTTTAACATCTGCAGGACGATGCTGAGGATGTTTTATGAGTCTGTGGTGGCCAGTGCTATCCTGTTTGTTGTTGCATGCTGGGGGAGCAGGCTGAGGGTAGCAGACGCCAACAGGATGGCCAAAGGACTCTCTGTCTGTGGTGTCAGAGAGGAGGATGCTGTCTAAGCTACATGTCATCTTGGACAATGTCTCCCACCCACTCCATGATGTGCTGCTCAAACACAGGAGCACTTTCAATGCAAGACTCATCCCCACAAAATGCACCACAGAGCGACACAGGAAGTCATTCCTGCCTGTGGCCATCAAACTTTATAACTCCTCCTCTGACACACAGACACATAGTTAGTTATTAAACTGGACCTTATTATATCTGTTTAATATTTAATGTGCAATATTCTCTGCTGCTATTTATTCATTATCACTGTTCACCAATAAATGCATTAATAGTGTAAATATTGTACATACCCATACTTTTCTATACCATACCTTTCAATTATTATTTCTATTCTTTTTAACTTGTTGTGCAATGGGTGTAACTGTGACAAAATAATTTCCCCTTGGGGATCAATAAAGTATTTCTGATTCTGATATCATTCAGTATATGTGTCACGCCCGCCCCTGCTGCGACCTAACCTTGACATGTGGAAGACTGCCTTGTGTTTTTTTTTTGTTCCCTGGGTGTGGCTGCAGTTTTGGTTTTGGGCCCTTTTCCCTTTCAGGCGTGTCAGCTGCGAGGGGAGCTGATTACACACACCTGCACATGATTTGTACTCCCTCGGGTTCCTACCCTATTTAAGCAGCGGCCTGACATCCTGTCCTCGCCGGATTGTTAAGTCGTTTCAGTACGTCTTGTCTACCAGCTCGCTTGATTAGGAATTATACCTGTACTCTGCCCGTTTGCTAAGCTGACTGCTAACCTGTGTTTCCTGTGCTCAGGATCTCTACCGGACCCGTCCGAGACCAACTCACCTTCCTCGCCTCCTGGATCTCGCTCTCCTGCCTGTTACCTGTCTGCTTCTCTGCCTGGACCCCATCAGCTTCCTTCGCCTGCCTGCTCTGCCTGCCCCGATCCCCGCAGCTGCCACCAGCTCTTTAGTTCAATAAACCTCTGAGAACCAGCTCTAGTGTCCAGTCTATTCCTGGGTCTTATCTGAAGCGTGACAATATGATTCTTTAAATATACCATGGTGGATTTAAAGTTAGAGGCTGAGGTAAAAGGTTGAGGATTTGTACATTACAAAAACTTTATTTTTCTCACAAAAAATGTAGTGACGATGTAAACATCTAGGCGTCAACTAACTTCAGGACACATTTACAGCCAGTGGCATTCATCATCAATAGCCTATTAAATCATTATTAATTCATTACTGTCTGTGAGCTGACTGTAACACCTCATGTTGTTTTTATCAGTTGACACAGCAGAAAAAAGTCCACATGCTGAAGACCACAAGCTGCCAGGAGTTTAATGAGGGGATGTTTCAAACAAAGCTTTTTCACCTGCTCAAAATATTGCCTCTTGGGGAGTTTCATTATTCAGCATGTGGACAACTTTTCTTTCTAGGCTGCTTCACCTGTACCCACCTGAGTCTGTACCTGCAAAGTGCACCCTATCCAGCCTCTCTACTTTGATCAAAGTCTCCATTTGTCCATCATGTTGCAGTTCAGATTATATACGTCTTCTGGTCCAGCTGTTTGTTCTGTATCTGTATATGTACAGATAAACTCCAGTTTCAGTCTGTCTCTGTTCAGATCCAGCTGTGAGCTCAGTGGCCACCACAGAAGAAGAAAGGTTAGATGTATATATATAAACCTTTATTACCTCAAAGTCCCATTGAGACACCTTTACAAGGGAGTCCTGTATAGCACAAGTAAAACACAATTTTTCAACCATGAGTTGAAAAACAATACATAAATTAAAATACAATACAAATTTACACAAAGTTTACAACATATTTACATAGATAAAAATGCAATGAGTTTAAAAAGCAGCTAAGGAAATTGGCACGCCAATCTTAAGCTTAGACTGGAGTTCATTCCAGGACAAAGGCCATAGTAAGAGAAACTCCTCTTTCCTGGTTCTGTCCTCATTCTTGGTACCTTACAAAGTAGTCTGTCACTAGATCGTAAATGATATGTGCTTTGCATATGAACAAACTTTAAACAATTATAAGGCAGAAGACCTAAAATAGCTTTAGAAATAAAAATGTACCAGTGTAGCATCCTGCGCAGTTTGAGTGATGACTAATTTACCATACTGTATAAGATGCAGTGATGTGTCTCATAGCCAGCATTTGTGATAAACCAGAGAGCCGCATGATGAAGTTGGTCAAGGTTGTTGTTGATGGACATGCTAATTGATGATATCACCATAATCTATCTGAGACAGGAATAATCCTGCAACCGCTGGAGCAAGATTTTAATCTATATAAAAATGACAGGGTAAATTTAAGTTTTGTAGCAAGAGCTTCAATGTGTTTTTTAAAGGTAAAACCTTCGTTCAGCCAGATACCCAAGTATTTATAAGTATCAACAAGTCCAATGGCTTCATCTTGCAATGTGTTAATAGAAAAAGCAGGGACGTTAGTATTAGTAGGTGCAAATATCATTGCCTTTGTCTTCTGTGCATTTAAAAGTAGCTTCAAATCAAACAGGGTAGATTGTAATGATGCAAAGTCTGACTACAAATTTGCACTGGTGATCTCAGTTGTAGGAGCACAAGAATACATAATTGTATCATCAGCATACAAATGATACTGTGAGTGTTTAATCTTACTACCAGATATTGTTTAAATAGATGATAAAACACAAAGGACCCAAAACTGATCCTTGTGGGACACACTTTTTTGGAACAACAGGGTCAGATATTACATTTCCATACGTCCGTTCAGAGATAGCTTTGAAACCAATTTTCAGCTCTGTGCCCAACACCAATATTCAACAGGGTTTTGATTAACATGGAAGGATCTACTGTATCAAATGGCTTTGTAAGGTTAATGAACACAGCCATACAGAACAACTTTTTATCAATTGCCGCTTTTAAGTCATCAATAACTTTTAAAGTAGCAGAAACTGTACTGTGGCCAGATTTAAAACCAGATTGCATGTCGTTAAGGATATTTTGTGAAACCGCAATAGTTTTTAATTGATCAGACACTAAAATCTCCAAAACCTTTGCTAAAACCGAAAGATTTCAGATAGGTCTATAATTATTTGTGTCAAACGGATCACCAGCTTTCAGTAATGACATGACGTAAGCCTATTACATGAAATAGGCACTCTATCTGTGTAAATGGAAAGATTAAAGATGTGAATGGTTTCGCTATAATTTCTGCCAGAGATGCTCACAAGTCTTCGAGTCCAAGTCAAGTCTCAAGTCTCTCTGGTTATTACAAATGTTTTATCACCTGCTGCGTTCAATCCAGGCCAATCAAAATTTTAAATAGATCTGTACGCTGAGGAATGGGAAGTGTGCAATAGAGTCTTAAACCCAGTGTAACGTTAATTAAATAAAACTGTGACGTTACATAATCAACAATAAACCTGTAATCTGTTTTTAACTTACAGAGCACAACCATGCAGCCTAATGTACAATGTGTCTACAATTAATGACTAATTATAAGCTTATAAACTACTGTAAGTCAACAAACCCTGTTGACTCTCAAACCAGTATAAAGTTAACAAAATAAAACTGTAAAGCTACATGGTCAACAATAAAGCTGTAACCTGTTTTTAACTTACAGAGCACAACCATGGAATGTGCAAGCAATCAATGACAGCTTAAATTACTGTAAACAACACATCCCCCACTCTCAAAGCAGTGTAATATTATATAATATAATATTATATTATATTATAACTAAACTAGAAAAGCAATTTCTGAAGAAATTGGGGTGTGAATGCTGTCTGCTGAATGGCTTGCGCTAAACTGAATTGCTGTCTTTAATAAAGTTGTATAGTACAAATTTATGAAAGAAGTGGAAAGTTTTGTTGAAAGCTGAAGCCATGAAGCAGTTGAAGAAATGTGAGAAAATCCCAAGTGTAGACTGTAGACCAGCACTTCCATAGAAGACATGTTCAGCTTGGAGCGCCGTGTGCAGGATATTCACCTCCATTCAGATGTTTCTGTTTTGTGAAATTTTGATAAATGAGTGATGTTATTTAATTACTTAGAAGAAAAATCATTCCTACTTCCTACTGTACATAACAGTAAAATGGACTCAGACTGGTTTCTTTTATACAAACACTGCTGGATGCGCATGCAGCCAGGGGGTCAAAGCGCTTTGGTAGCCGGTCAGAAGACTGTAGTAAACAACTGTAATCAAGGTAGATTAGGCATTGTTTGTAAATTCTTGTTGACTCAGTAATAAACTTAATTTTGCATGTTAATATATCATGTGCAACCGCACTGCAGGTCAGCGGAACCAGAACTTGTGTTGTTCAAGTCAGCTGCTAGCCAATAAACTAAAGGAAGAATGGAGAAAGAAGGAGAGAGGCGTTCTTTCCACAGCTGTAAGTAACGTTCTGCCATTAGGCCGAGCTGTGTCACATTCAGAGATGCAAAGAACATGGTCTTCTGTTGTAAACTCTGTGCTACCAGCAAAACGCTTTCAACTGTGAACAATTTTGTATTGAAGCATCTGCTAAAGCAGCACAGCAACGTGAAACTTGAGCCTGTGGAAATAAACTCCGGCAGCTAACGTTTCTGCCAGTGAAGTATCCACTCAGCAGAAGAGAGTGGCGTTAATCAACGTTTTGTGTTTTGTAAAAGCACTGAATGCTTCTCTTATAAATGCATTTGCAAAATGTTAGTTCAAAATTTGAGACACTTGCTTGATTTTTCTGATCTCTGACAGTGGCATTAAAAAAAAAATCATACTCTTGGCTGCTATGAACACGCGATTAGTTAAAATCTGGAGGGACCTGCTTTGTTTTTTAAAAATATTTTTAAATAGCCTATATCCATAGCTTATATGATAGAGCATCCTCTGGTCTGAGAGGCTGCAGTGTTTTCAGTTCGGCTGGTTGTTAACTATTGTTCCAGTAAAGTGGATTTATTTCTAAAATGCACTGCTGAACAGGTTTCCCGTCACTTTTAAAGATGGGGTGCGATGGTTGAAAGTAATTGTAATGTAATGAGTAATGTGACTATTTACCATTAATACCCAGTAATATGTAAAGTACTAGGGGAGTATCATCAACAACTTAATGATGTGACAGACAATACTGTTATCTATCAAAAACATGAGTATTTTTATTGCCAACTTGCAAATCTTACCTTTGTTTAGACGCCATTTTTTTCTGGAAAGGTACCATATAGCTACAGATCCAGATATTAATAAAAAAAGAATCCCCCCAACAACAGCAGCAGCGATCACAACTCCTGTCATGTCTGAACTTTGTTCTCCACATTCAGCATCAGTTGAAGCAGTTCCTGCTTTCAGCAGCTGCAGATTTATTGATTCACATCTGGAATGATAGAGGGACATTTTTACAGCAACATTTGTAGGAAACCATGAATTCACTGCTGCTGGAAGACTTCAGATGTCTGATGTGAAGCTTCTCTTACTGTGTGCGGCTGACAGGACGTAAATGTCCCATCTGAAAATGTTCCAACGCTGCAGTCAGAGCACTTTGTGTCTGTGAATGCTGTTCCTGAACAAACACAGATTAGAGATATTGAAACCAGTTCAGTTTTCATATTATAGAGCGATCAGTTTCTTAATTGACATCCTTACATTTCATCAGACTGATCTGATGAAATGTAAGGACGGTTTAATTTCAGCGGATTTAAAAAAACACGACCCAAAACATAATCTTCCATTTTTTTTATGTTTTAGGAAAAAAATTTTTTTTTTGAGGTTTTGACGAGATGTTCATTTTTCTCATAACTACAGATTGAAATGGGATTTGAATCACTGTAAAGGACAGCAGACTCATAAACAAACTGACCACAGTTTGAGAGAACACTGGAAGTATTCAAACATCTTGAGGTTCAGTGTCATAATGTAATTTAAAATAATATAAAACTACTAGGGCGTCGCGGTAGTACAGTGCTTAGCTTTGTCGCCTCACAGAAAGAAGGTTTTGGGTTCGAACCCTGGTTGCCCTGGCTTTTCTGAGTGGAATTGCACCTTTCGCCCGATGTCAGCTGGGATTGGCTCCACCCCCCACGACCCTGTACGCAGGATAAGCGTTTAACAATGGATGGAAGGATGGATGGATAAAACTACTAATATGTTGATGTCAGTTGACAACTGTCAAGAAATGATATAAATTCCACTTTTAAACTTTTCTCTTCTGGCCAGTGTAACATCCACTTCTCTGGGTAACAGTTGTAATCACATGAAAACAAGTTTTTTCCCCAAACAAATGATCCTGACAGAGAATTCTTCTGCTTTGTTAACTCTTAAACTAATGTTGTCCATGTAAATTTTAGAATTCACATTTTCCTAGTTAATCTTTAAGTAATTGATTGATCATCCGAAAGTTCCCTTAACGGCTTCAGGCTGACTGAATCACTCAACTGGTCTGAACAGTTTCTGCAGATTTATGGTGGAGCTTCTGTTCTGCTATCTTGTGGTCAGAAATAACCACTTGCAGCTTTAATGAGGAAGTTGTCATTAAGATCCGTTTCTCAAAACCTTGGTTCATTTAAAACTTAAACTACAGTTAGAAGCTTAAAGTCAGCACGAGGAAACCAACCTTTCTGGCTGATGTATTGTCCTGGTTGACAGCTTGTGTGTCTCTGTGCTGTCATACAGCTGTCCTCTGTAGAGTCCAGACAATAGAATCCCTCCAGTGGTTCACAAACTGCATCTGATGTTGTTGTACATGACGTCTTTATCTTCAAACCAGAACCTGTCAGCACATACAGAGGTTACATATGGAGATACTACACTTTTAATCTACTAGAGCAACATGCACAGAGGAAAATACAGCTGAATTTAACAGCCTAATACATCGACTGCAAAATAAATGATGTTGAATGTCTTGTGGCTTACTCTTAAAATGATCCTTTTGCGACACACAACATTTCTTCACTTAGTATTTCAGAGTATTTCATAACACACAAGGTCTTTGTTTCTGCATGCAGTTCATCACTTTCAGAGCAAAATCAGTAATGTGTAGTAAACTCATCAAAATGAGTCTCTGCTTCTATGCAATGACATTGTCAAAACAATCTTCAACAGTTTCCTTAGCTGTTCCACAGCTTTAACAGTGGAACTTGCAGTAATACGCAAGTTACTGCCTTTGAACTCCAGGCTCTAAGTTTCATTGTGTTATGGCAGAAAATTGTGTCCTTACATTTAATCTTTTATGTATGACTTTTAATATTATTATTATTACTATTGTCGTTATGTCTTATAGATATATATGTATTGTGTCTATCCTTAACCTTTCCTTCTTCTATACTCCTTATGTTAGTCCGTCCACATTTACTAGGTTTAGGTCAGAGCTGTGAGATTATTTTTGTCTTTTCCCTCTCTTGTTGTTCCTTTCCTCTCCTGGGAGAGGCTGGGAGAGGATCTCTGTTCCCCAAAACGTAGAAACCTAGACTGTGTAAATGATTATGCAAACCTCTGCGCGGGGCCAGACGCCCGAAGCGGTCTCTGGACCAGCTGTATATGTGTTTTAGTATGTTTCTGTTTATTCTTTTTTATTAATAAATTCTTCAAAGGCAATGGTTGATTGTTACTCAATTATTTGCTCAATCCCTCACCAGCAAGATACAATTTCCACAACACAATGATTTGGAATTATTCCCAGAAGCCTACCTGCAACACAGGTGGAACAGGGGAAACATTGTTTACGTCCAGTCGGCTGATTCATGAAGGTTCCCTCAGTGCAGGGCAGACAGGAAGTACTTGTGAACTCTGTACAATCTGTTTTAACTCGACTTCCTGTTGAAAACAAAAGAACAATTCAATTTAATGTAATATAATGTTTCTATTAAATGAAAGAGTTAAATCTTGGAGGGTAAAGCTCATGTTGTGAGCTTTGCAAAGTGAACTGCTGTCTGCTACAGAGTCACACTGAAGGAATAAAACTCGCAGATACATGAAACCTCTAAACATAAACAGCACCAACTGTGGGCCCTGATGGAGTGATTGATTCTGGTAATTATTGTTGGTATCTGGCAGTAAACGAAAAAGACTCCATATTTTAAGTGAAATATCCCTTTAACATTCAGTTGGATCTTACCAGCAGGACAAACAGGGCAGCATTCCTCCCCTATCTCATACTCTCCTCGATGACATGGGAGGCTGTGTCCTCTCAAGACATTCATCACAAGTATCTGTGAAGAGAAAGAAAAAGGGTTTTGTCTCAGTGAAGCCTGGTTGAAATGAAGTCAAACTGCAAATCAAATACATGGATAGAAGCTGTTGAACTAAACTCAGATAGAAACCAGCAGCACTTTGTGTTTGTGTAGATCTATTTCAGTCAGCCAGATAGTTAGAGGTCCAAAAGATACTAAATAAAACCACATCAGCTAAAAGTACAGATTCTACTATAACATTAGGAGGTCCCATCATTTAACCTTTGCAGGTGAGTGTCACGGCTGTAGCTGTCACTTTTGTGTTTCCCCTTTTCTGTCTCACCTCTACCAAGTAGGCTGTGTCCCTGTGGAAAGAAGACCCGCCTACTTCCTGGTTTCTGGGGTGCTGACTTCAGTCCCACCCATTGGTTCCCCCTGTTCCCGCTCAACCAATGGCTGGTCACCACATTGATTACCTCGTACTCATAAGGAGAGTCCACCTGTTGCTCGAGGCAGCTTGTCACTGCCTATTGACTTGTGTGCTGCTTGTATTGACTTGTGTACTTTGCTTGTTAGCTGTACATTGTGTGTAGTGGAGAAATTCACTTAGTATTTTTGTTTAATATTGAGTTAGTTTTCCTCAGGTGTAGTGGGTGCTGTGCTCTTTGTGTTCTTTTGTAGCAAGAATTAACCCTGTTTAAATATATAGATAGGTACAGGCCTCCTTTTGAGGACCTCTTTATTTTAACTTGGTTTGTTGTTTTCGCAGCACCCTCATCCACCCTCCTTTTGTTTACTGTTACCTGTCTGCATCTCCGGGTTACCACTAAAAGTTGCCTTTTTAAGATCTATACCAGTTTTGCCTATATGTTTATGGCCCCCACTCCCCTAAACACCAGCAGGAAGTCATGTGAGAGTTAATGAGGTCATATTTGTATCATCAGAGTCATAAGAGTGAAGTCATCGTGTGGACCGGCACGTAAAAGGAGAGTTTAAATATTACATTCTTATCATCATTAAGGTGAAGGAACACCAGTGTTTCCCATATGTACTGTAGAATGTATTTTCTCTTTTCACTCAGTGTATTTATTTTGTATTTCTTCATTTCAAAACTGCTTTGAAATGTTTTCTTTTGTGCACAACCCCCACCTTCATCCTATCACTGGAAAGGAACTTTCCACTTTCCCACTAGTACTATTAAACAGCTCCATCTTCACCTTCACCACATCATCTTTCTTCTGTTACAGAGGTTAACGGCAGAGCAGATGCTCATCACTCAGCAGAGCTGATGAACAGAAAACCTAAAATCTTTTTTCTTTTCTTGACACTGAAATGTTTGTCGATGTTAGAGACACATAATCATAAAGGAAAACATTTAAACAAAGAAGGAGTAAAGTGATGCATGAACTGCTGCCATGAAAGCTTGCTGTAGTACCAGTCCGCTAGTCCACCACGTGGCACTGTGAGGTTGTTTCCAGTTCAGTTAGGCACATTGCAGAAGTAATGCAGAAATGTTGTAACTAGGCTGTCGGGTTCTTATGCAAGTTGATAAAAATGATTTTACCATCAATGCTGCAGGTGCCAGAGGTTTTCTTCTAAACATCATTTTGTACAGCAGAATCACCGCTTTCATGGGCTGAAGACGTCCTCTCACTGAGATTTGGGATGAAGTGAGAGTAAAATCAGGGGACCGGGACATCACCTGAAAGAAAAGAAACATATCCATGTAGAGATTACACTAACTGCTAAGCAAACTTGAGGCAGTTATTGCAAGCAAGGGTTATGCTACCAAATATTAAATGTTATTTACTTCAAGATTATTTGTTCCTTTACTTTTGCTCACCTAAGAATGCTGTGGTCTAATACAAACGCTGATATGTCCTGAGTTGTTTAACACATCTAGATGTGAATACCAGGAAATAAAAGCTGAAATTCTGAACTCTTGTCTCATACTCATCTTTTGGAGGGGACTGTAGTTTTCCCTCATATTAGAAAAGACATTTCCACCGTAAATTGGAGCAGAAAATGTCTCCAGAATGTAGGAAATTACGAGTTTAATGCTCGAAATCTTCTGGGGGAGGCACACCAGCGCATATATTTCTGCATCAAATATCTAATCTAAATAGTGTTAAAAATCTTTTGCAGCATCACGTCTCATTACTCAAATGTACCATCACAGCCCTCATCTGAGCCCTTATGTCCGTTCCGCTTTTCAACACAAAGTGACGCCCTTGACTGACCCGCTCCGCTCTGCACCAGCTCCTCTCTAGTAGACCTACTTATACTCAGCACCAATTAGTGAACATGTTTGCAAGGCACTGTATGCATGCTACTAGGGCTGCAGCTAACGATGATTTTACTATTCAAAGCTTCTGTAGATTATTTCAATAATTCATCGATGCGTCGTTTAAGAAGTACTTTTGCTTGGCGGAGCCCCCCCTCCGGTAACGGGATCAACCCTGTGCACCTTTATAGGTGATAGATATTTATTGGTCTTTTCAATTCACACTACGTGACTGATCGTGACAGGGGGTTACACACTACACGAGCTGACAGCGGCTGTGTCACCTGACTCTGGTCTCCAAACCACGTTTTGTCAAGAAAACACACGTGAAATGAGAAATGAGCGATCCTGCACACGAAGCTGTTGTTTTTTATTATAAAGATGGCAATTATAAAGACAAAGAATCTGTGTGAAGGATGGATTAGTACACGCAGGTAGCAGGAAACGTCTGAGCTACAGAGAGAGCTGGAAGTGAGTGAAAAGGTGCAGCTCCCCGCCCCCCCTGTTAATTCTTGACTGTGAGATTCCAACTCACGGCCCAAAAAAGAACAACAAAGGACATTTTCAGCTGAGGTCTGCGGCTTACTTTGGCTTCAACAATCAATCATGATTTCAGTTAAATGCTAAAGTTGCTGTTACCTTGTCTGTGGTCCGCTGGCAGAACACCGGGTGCTTTCTGATCGGGAGCCGTCGTGCTGTTGCCGAGGCGACATTTTTACGGTGGACGGACGGTAACATTAGAGTTGCTGTTTTCTTGCATGTTGTTGTTATTAATCGATTTAATTGATAAATTGTTTCAGCACCACCAGGTTCCATTCTCATTAGGGGCTCTAAGGGTCTGAGCCTCGCCCCTGTCAGGTGAGAGATTCTGATAGTATGATTTTTGTATTACTCAGGGTAACCAAAGTTATTGTGTTTTCTTATATTGACCTGTGATGTAGTTGTTGATTTATCATTTATTAAACTAGACCTGATGTGTGTGTTTTTTGGAGAGGTGCAGCTGACAGCTTGTTGTTTGTCAGAGAAAGGAAGATCGACCCAGAGCTCTGTAAGCTTTACTCATTTACTTGTAATAAAACTGATTAACTTGGACCAAAAACATCTTCTCCTATTGCTTCATGAAAGAACACGCAGGACCAAGGACTACACATAGTTTAAAAAGGGTCATTTAAAGTCACGGTCCAACACAGGCAGTCCTTATTGTTGAGCCCTGGATCGGCGGTTTTTGGTATAGCGCATTAGGGCTGCAACGATTGGTCGACGTAATCGACGACGTCGATAATATAAATACGTCAACATGAAATTTCATTGTTGACGCGTCTTTACAAAGATGCTGTTTAAGGCAGAGATAGCAATTTTCTGATTAAGAACATTTCTGGTTGTTCATTTCTAGCTGCAATGCACTACAGGAAGTGCTGGGGGCAGTATCGCTTCTGCCATGACTGCTTGACTGTAAGACTACTCACGAAGAAGAAGCATTCATGTGAGAAGCGGAAACCAACAGAGAAAGAGGCTAACAGCAGAACGTTTTTTTGTATGCTATTTCGTCACTAAATACACTTTTGAGAGATTTGAGGTGAGAAATCAACTGTGACGAACTTGAATATTGGAAGTTTTACAAAAGTTGATGGCGAATCAAAAGTGTGCTCAAATGTTTTCGGGGTTGAGAAGCTACACAAGCGCTCGTGAGGTTAGTCGTGCCAGCCGGCCGGCCAGTCACACCCGCAGAGCCCTCTGGTCCCAGTTACTCAGACCACTGCAGCAGCAACAACAGAGGAAAGGCCACAACTATAAGATAGTTTCAATGATCGTACCGCTGCTATTCTGTCGTTACAATCTCAGTACATTAATGGTCATTTTAAAGTAAAGCAAGGAACATCTGGCTCGTGATGTAGCCTACAGAACATTCTCCACTTATAAAACTTACAAGCACATTCGAAAAATAAATTACAGAAAGAGTATGAAAAGGGACTGTTGCTTTATTATTCTAAATGGACCTTAATATTGTTAGTGTACAGTTGTGGTTTTAGTACTTGCTTTTAAATCTTTGTTATAAAGTTAAAAGTTAAAGTTAAAACCTACTTGGCAATAAATCAGATTATGAGTTTATTGTTTTGGGTTATAAAACCTGGCTGTTATCTTTGAGCAGCCTCTTCACAGTTCTTTGCATTCTTGGTTTTGAGGTCTCATGGATGATGCTGGCTAAGAGAACGCTCCTTTAGTTGTGCTAGCAAACACGTTAAGAGCAACAGTAAATCAGTGAATTATAGTAGTATCCTATGCTGTCTTGTCTTCTTCACTGTTTTCCCCTGGTGTTGATACTGTTATTCATTCTAAATAGTAAACCTTGTTCACATAATGGTAACATTAGCTAGTTCGGCTGTGTGTTGAAGATCAGTAATTCCCTTGAAAGATATTAGTTCAATGGTTTAATTAGGGGGTGACATAATGAAATAATCGTGACTAGTCGACTAATCGAATAAATGATTAACAGATTAGTGAACTACAAAAATAATCATTATTTGCAGCCTTACACAGCATGTGAGTTTCACATGCTATCGTTAGCTATCGTTAGCTATCGTTAGCTATCGTTAGCTATCGTTAGCTACTCCCACTAGTTTACTTATGTTGTCATATATAAGATGGATGCTAGGCCACATGGAGATTGCCTCTGGGCCGGATGTGGCCCACGGGCCACCAACTGGATAGGGCTGGTGTAGGCTATTTGGGACAATGTAGATAAAACAAACACGGAGCTGCAGGAGGGGGTAATATTCTGAGAAAAACTCTACATTTCCGAGAATAAAGTCGTAAATTTACAAGAAAATATTTTGGCAGTATCAGTAGCAGTATAATGGGCATTTGTGTAGTGAATTGGTGGAATGAGTCTGGCTAAGTTAGGTGTAGGTGCAGCTCTGTCCACAGTGACAGAGGGACACTGAGGTGGTCTGCTATTACTGTGAAGTGAAATAAGTCAGTGAAAACAAGAGGTTTTCTTTTCACATCCATCTAAAACTGGTTAAATTCAGATAAAAAAAAAATTGTTGATTTTAACGCCAATCTGAATTGTGCAGAAATAGACATTATTAAGGGCTGTAAGTTTTAAAACCTCCATCAAATAGCTCTGGTCTTCACTGAGGGATATTCTGATGTGGTCTGCTATCACTGTGAAGTGAAATGATTAAATGGAAACAGAAGATTTTCTCCAAACATCGGTCTGAATTTCGTAAGCATTCTGTGAAAATTGTATTCTTTAGATACTTGTGTTGTCTTAAGCATTTCTTTCATTATTCATTAATTCAATCATTTCGGCCACACCGATTACATTGGGCCTTTCCGAAACTAGACCTTCGCCACTTCCACTCCGACATGGAGTGAACTCTGGTCAGAGTCACCCTCACAGCCAAATCGAGCTCCCTAACCCGCATACGGTTTAAATATAGCGGACAACTTTCGGATGAACTCACTCCCCAGCGTAAATAGGATGTGACGTTACAGGTGCACTCGCTGCTATAAAATGTGTATCAAATAAACAACAGTGGTATTAAGATTCAGGATATTGATGTTGAGGAAAAGTGTGTTTTTTGCAATAACGAAACTGAAAGCATTTGTCATTCATTTTGTGTTTGTGTTGAATATTTCTTTAAGAACATGACTTTAGATATTTACAAAAATAAATATTATATTCTTTTATGAAAAGATTGATATTCAGTGTAAAGACAAGACCATATATTTGAACCTCTTTAACTTAGCCTGTATGAAAAATGTTACACTCACAAATACACCATTTCAATATAAATCATACATTATATTGAAGCATTATAGGCTATAGTCTGGAGAATTAAATATGTAAGCTACTTTGTGGAGTAGAGGCTTTTATTTTGAAGTGGGGGAGAAACGGAAGTTGTGATGCTGTTCCGGTTCAACAATGTGCAAGAGACGAAAAAAAAAGAATAATAAAGATGTCCCGTCTTGGTTCAGACAACGGAACCTCCGTGTTGTTATTTTGGTAGTCACATCAAACGTGTAGGCGAACTTATAACCGCTCGGTTACACTGGGGGGCAGCAGGGGGACACACGCGGTGAAGCAGAGGAACTGTCTTTTATACATGCGCTGTCACACGATGGGTCCGGCATGAAAGAATTGCAACAAGCTGATCCAGACGTTGGTAGGGTATTGGAGTGGATTGAGAGCAGTGGATCCAGACCGCCTCGGGGGCGGATGAGAGGTAGCTCCCGGTGGCTTAGGAAATTATGGACTGAATATCCTCGCCTTTCTGTTGTGAATGGACTGCTCTACCGGACTGTGAATTCCTCTCTCACGGGGGATGCTCAGTGTCAAGTGGTTGTGCCCTCCTTGCTTGTGCCGGAGGTGTTGCCGCACCTTATTGGAGGCCCAGCGGCGGCACATTTCTCAGCGGAGAGGGTATGGGAACGTGCAAGGCAAACCTGTTTCTGGCCCTCTATGTTTAAGGACATTAGGCAGTGGTGTGAGCAATGTGTCCCGTGCCAAACCCGCAGGGCCCCTGTGCCTAAGTGGCGTGCGCCGATGGGGGGGTCCCAGGTAACTCGGCCCTTCCAGAGAGTGGCAACTGACATTTTGGAATTGCCAGTGACTTCAAAGGGTTACAGATATGTGTTAGTGGTGGAGGACTACTTTACCAAGTTTGTGAATCTCTATGCCCTTCATAATCAGACGGCCCAAACGGTAGCGCAATGTTTGTTTGAGGACTATGTGTTAGTTCATGGCATCCCCGAGGCTGTTCACAGTGATCAGGGCCGGCAATTTGAGTCGGAGATTGTCCAGAGACTGTGTCAACGTTTGGGGATTAAAAAGACACACACCACGCCATATAATCCCAAATCTGATGGGATGGTCAAACGCTTTAATCGGACTCTCATTGACCAGCTTGCCAAGTCATTACTCGCATGTGGGGGTGAGTGGGACGATTATCTGAAGCATGTGGCTTTTGCCTATAACACATCTGTCCATGCCTGCACCAACTACACCCCTTTCTATTTGACTCACGGCAGGGAAGCCCGGGTCCCCGTGGATGTTTTGGTGCCCTCTCAGGTTGGGCGTTCGGACTTACCTTTTTCTTATGCTGACTTTGTGACCTCTCTGACGGGGAGGCTGGAGACTGCTTTCGGTGGTGCACGGCAGTGGGGTGCCAGCGCCTATGAGAGACAAAAACTGTACCATGATGCGGCTGCCCGCCACCGACCATACTCAGTGGGGGACCTGGTGTGGCTGCACAATCCTACTGAGGACCGCATGAAACTTGCTCCCCACTGGAAGGGCCCCTACAGGGTGCTGGCTGTGTTGGACTCTCAGGGCGAGCCGGGACTCACCTATCGTATTGGAGATCATCTGACCGCTGCTGGACAGGAGCAGGTGGTCCATTATGATAGACTGAAACCCTACACTCTACTGAGGCCACCGAGTTCTTCGTGTAGCCCCCCGGCTCCTCTTCACGTTCCCTCACTGTCGGATGAGGGGCTGCTGGATGTGGGGAGTGGGGCGGAGGAGCTTCTGGCCCCTGGTGGTTCTGGGACTGTTTGTGTTAGAGACCCTGGTAAACCACAGCGAATTGTTTCCCGTGCCGGCAGAGTGGTGAACCGGCCGGTTCGTTTCCAGGACTTTGTCACTTATAAGTAATGGTTTTCACCTGTTAGTGGGGTTCCATGTTGCAGTGCCAAAATGTACTGAGGTTATGTGGGTTAATGCATTCCCTCGCTGGTGTGGTTCATTTCGCTTGGGTGTGTCGATCCGCTAGTGTGTATCAGCCACCTCTGGTATACGGTAGAGATTAGTGGGGCATACTTTGGGACTGTGTTTTTTTTGTGTGCGTGCCATGCATTATATTGTTTCCTGTGCCATGTCAAATTTTCTGTTGGGGTGTGTTTTGGGCAACCAAGTGACTGCTGCTGTTATCATGTTTGTTGTTGTTAGTGGTGTTGCTGAAACGAGGACGTTTCTTTTTGTAAGGGGGGAGGTATGTAAGCTACTTTGTGGAGTAGAGGCTTTTATTTTGAAGTGGGGGAGAAACGGAAGTTGTGATGCTGTTCCGGTTCAACAATGTGCAAGAGACGAAAAAAAAAGAATAATAAAGATGTCCCGTCTTGGTTCAGACAACGGAACCTCCGTGTTGTTATTTTGGTAGTCACATCAAACGTGTAGGCGAACTTATAACCGCTCGGTTACAAATATATAAAGACTTAGGCCAACTATTTTTCTTTAATGCCTTTGTTGCTTGTTATGTAGCCTAATCTCCCTGTGTATGAATACGGTTCAATAAAACAACCTTTGTATTGTCTATCAGTCGAGATCATTTGTTTTTATTAAACACAATTTAACCTTTGGGCTACATTACTGACCTGTGAATGGTGATATGAAATGTTAGTGTAGTTTAGGAAGTTAAAAATCCTACATGTTAACCGGCAAAGTCACACGGGAACGCAAATTGAAAGAAAGGTCCCCCATCTTGCAGCAAAGGGTGTTACACACCTTCAACAAGCTAGAATCGGTGCTGACTCCGCATCAGAGGGTTTAACAACCCACTACCTGTCTGCCCTCATTGGTTTGGGATGGCACTCAATGGGGCGGAGTAGCAAGCAGTTCCGGAAAGGCCCATTATGTTCAGCAGAAGCTCACTTTTAATTTGAAACTTATGTTAAATAGAAAAAACAGCAGAAAAACAGACTGGCTTGACTGCTGTAAAATGGGAAAGACCTCTTGACAGGAATCTGGTGTGTAGGCCTACACTGGAACTTTATCTGATGGACTTTGACTCGACAGTGAATTTCACAGCCGATGTTTAATCCGAATTTAAAAAACACATTTTAAAAGATTTTAGAGTTGCTAGCCTAACTTTAAATGCAGGCATGAAAGGGCTAATAAATTTCGCCTTCAGGAACGAGGTTAATCAAGGAAACTTGTAACGTTAGACTACATTTCAGGAAACGCTCCTTCTACTGGCTGTAACAAAACACTGATGTCTCTAAACTGTTAACTAGATTTCAGATCATCTAGCATCTGATGAACCTGACACAGACGATAAATGTTATATCGTTTTAAACAGCATTTTCCCTCAGAAAGCTATTATAATATCTGGAAGTCTTTGCTCTGAGAACTCGACAAACTTTGGTTTCACTTTAAATAAATAACCCGATCCAGAACATCTGGACCACACAGCGGAGTTTCAGCAGTAAGACAACAACACTGGCTTCTACAGCATTATACCTGGACTTCGTTCCCCTCTTTTCTGAAAATATAAACGGCTCGACTTACCTGTTGCAGTCCAATAAATCTCCGAAAACGAAAAGCGGCCTGCGGTGGGAGCGCGCGCAGTTAGGGGCCGTCTGCAAAGTGCAATAAGATCTACTTTAATTGTGAATAACTTTTGTTTCTCAACATAGAAATCTCAAACCAGTGTTATGCAGCTGCTGCTGTGTAATGTTTAAGGGTGGTCGCTGTCTATATCAGCAGTGGTTTGAAATTTCTATGTTGAAAAACAAAAACGTTATTCACTTAAAATGGATTGTATGTGCACTGCAGACGGTCCCTAACTAGAAGGGATACATTTATTTTGTTGTCGTGAAAACGGATGCACAAATCTAAGAGGAGACAAACCAGGGCTGTGTTTCTATAGAATTCTGTCCGATAAAGAAAACCCCGAGAGGAGGAGATTGTGGATTTGTGCCATTAAACATAACGTTACTTCTGTCTCCTGGGAGGGCAAACAATGTCAACCGTCCAAATATACACGTATTTGCAACGAACACTTAGCTCAAGCAACGTTAAACACAAGTAGCCTACATAAAGTGTTGAGCAGTTGTGCGCAACCCCATCAACGCATCCGGATGTCAAGCAAGACTTCAGTCATTATCTCTCCTTAGCCTCTTTGACAGGCACATTAAATTTAAGAAAGCGAACACTGTTGTCCATACACATGCGCTACATAGAGCGTAGTGACATCACATCAGGGCGTAACAAGTTTTACTACCGTCCCAGATAGCAAAAATCATGTGGCCCAGATCTGGCCTAGATCCTTCATAAGTTCTGGGCCAGATCTGTAAAACGGACCCGGGCCGGTGTCCTTTAGCAATGCACTGGGCCAGCTCCATTTATTAGTTCTGGCCTGGATTCACACCACCTCTGGCCTCTTTCATAACCTTGATCTATACCCACAAAACATATACAAAATATGATTTTTTTTGTTAAAGCGATAGTTAAAATTTTTACCATCAGATGTTGTGCATGACTCACCAAGTGCTATGGATCCTACTACTAGATAACAGTGAAAGTATACCCTTTCTGTCTGAGAAGCCAAAGGGTTACTGGGATAGTTTCAACCACAGAACTTATGGCAGGAGCTGGTCTATATAATGTATAAGAAATAGTGACTTGTATATCACTAAGGTACACTAAGATTTCTTGTTTTACTTATGTTTTCATTTTCCTTGCATTTTAAACTCGATTACTTTTTTCTTTTGAATTTAAAAAGCATGGACAGTCAAAACTACTGTTACACTCTGTTACAAAGACTGTTTCTATTTGTCCTACACAGAATTTCAACAAAGAAAGTGATAGAACGGATGAGTGACACATTTTAAATTTTATTTAAAATACACATTTTAAATTTTATTTGAAGAATAAAAGAGAGGACAGAAACTTAAAACAAAGTAGATAATTGCCAAACTAACATTCAATCTAATAAACACATTTTACAGCTCATTTCTGTCTTTAACAACTGTAGGAACAAGAAACTTCACTCCAGTTGACTTGCAGGTGCAGGTGATTAGTTTCTAGTAACCGTACAGTAACCACACACCTATGACACAGGTGTTATTTTTAAATGAATGCAGAAGTATTAAACTCTAATAATAGCAACAGTGTGGCTTAGTTAAAAAGCTCAATACATTGACATTGCTATCAGTCTTGCATAGTGTAGTGTACCATTAGTAATGATGATATAAGAAAGTAAGATTTGCTTTCTCCCTGAGAGAGATGAGAAGATATATAGCACATTCATGATACCATACTCTACATATAAAGCTAAAGCCAGGAGACACACGAGATCTCTAACGTTTTAATTAGCGACAAGCGATAAGTTTGTCTTGATAGATGATTACTGCCAGCCATTTAGATTTTAACCATTTTCCGTGACCATGTTATAAATAACAAAGATTTTATAGCCAAATACAATATCCAACTCCAACTAGTCATGTGAAACCCAGAAAAAACCCCAGTGGTAGTAACGTTATGTACAAAGCGTGCAACAAAAAAATGTGAGGCAAATTAAAAAGAATGAGTAATGCTGATTGTACCACTGCCAGCCATCTCAGTGTACTGATATCATGAACCTCATTGTAATTTTTAACTGTAAAATTTGATGAATTACTGAGAACCATCAGCCTCTAGACAAAACAAATAACATTTCTTACAGCTCCTGACAGAAATCTGAGGGTAAACACTTGGTAAGCTTAACATAGCACACTATATCCCTCGGAAAACGCCCCAAATAAATATCCAGAATGAATCAGGAACTGCTCCTCAACCATAATACCGCAGTGTGATTTCATACAAAGTCAATGAAAAGACACGGAGAGAGGAGATTTCCCGCCCATAGACCTTATTTGTCATAATGAATTTACGTTTTGATTAATGTCAGATGAAAATTCCAACTTCTTTAGATGGCTTTGATTTTTTAAACACTTAACTTACCTATCATAACTTTATAACGTTATGCTCAACTATAGCCAAGATCAAATCAAAGCCAGAAAAAAATACTTAAATTAACTTAACTAACCCTATTAATCCCGGGCTCTCAGCCAGGGGTGAAGAAAAGACTGAACCTAAAAAGGAGACAGGTGCTGTCAGTTGGTGCTGTTGGAAACTAACGTTACAACAACGTTGTAAGTTAACTAACGTTAAACAGCATTAATGTTTTAAGCTAGCTGCACACAAAGTTGTTTATTAATGCTAGCTAGCTTAACTATCCGTTCATTCGGTTAATTTAGCTTGTCCAGCTAAAAAGCTAACGTTAGCCAATGCCTCTTCAACAGTTTTAGCCATTTTAAGAAGTTAAAACCCGGTCAAAACATTCCGATGTGATGATGTTAATGATGTTAACAAGCATTACACCGCTATTAAAAACACTAAACTCACTAAACTGTTTGACTGAAACATCGTTCAACTTACCGTTATAAACTCTTTCCACAAAGCTTCCAGTCCGAACTGATCCAAAGAAAGAAACAGTTCGCGCGCTCGTTCCGACGGCCCCTGGCCAGAACAACTACGATTCCGCCGCCTGACTTCTGGTCCGGTATGAACCGGTTCGAAAGAGAAAAAAAGAAACAATTCGCACGCTCGTTCCGACGAGTCCGGGCCAGAACTATTATGATTCCGCCGACTGATGGATGCTCACGCCCACTCCTGAGTGCACACAGACTACATGAATATAATATAATATAATATAATACTATCTGGAACGGGACAGTAAAACGGGCGTGACTGTTACACGGATCTGCCGGTTTGGAGGCGGATTCGGCCCAGAGTCAGCTGCTATCTGGGGTATTACACTGAGTAAGGGCGCCATCAGATAGTAACACTGAACAACACTCAACATAAAGGTATAATAAATAGGCCTATCGTATTTTTAGCCATAACATATCTTTATGTAATCAGTTTGACATAGTTTGTTGTTTATCGAGGCGACCAACTGCAGTGGTCGAAGTGAATTAAGGTTAGCGAACCGTCGTTAGCTAACGTTAAGTTAAATTGTTGGATTGTTGTGTTGAGCTAATGATACACGGAGTAACCTCCTGTACCTCCTGTAAGAAAACCTCCTGTTTCCACTGACTGATTTCACTTCACAGTGATAGCAGACCACCTCAGGGTGACCCTTGGTGAAGATCCGAAATACACTATGTTGCAAAAGTTTATGTACACAACATGGTTAATGAAATCCTATTCTTAATCCGTAGGGTTTAATATGGAGTTGAACTATCCCTTGTAGATTTTTATGCCTCTTGTTATTTTTTACATTTGTGTAGGTGGCTTTTGAAGTGAGTTGAAATCCAATACTTACATTTATAGGTAAAATCCAGGGGGCCACAACCAACGCCATGATTTATGCTGGGACAATCAACCCAGCGTAAATCAATCAAGAACACTGATATTTGCTAGCCTGACGCCTGAGCTACTGTCTCTTAACTAATCAGTTTATTGTTGTCTTCCTGACAAGGACAAGTACATGTAAGAAATACATGTCAGAAACACTCTAAGCTAGACCTGTTTTACCTTTCCCTGTTACATCAATTAAGACACTTAAGAAATATTCTCAACAGTAAGATTTGCAGATTGATTATCTAATTAATTAAGCAAAGCGAGAGGAGCCTTGATCCTCACCTGACAATGCCTTTTTAAACTTCATGTATTATGTGGTTTATAATGGACTGTGGTGCAGAAACAGCGAGGCTTACATTTTTCAGTTATCTTTCAGTGGTCATACTTGATGCACTAGATGTGATCGTTTTTTGAGATGTTCTTCATTTACTTTGGTATGTTAGTCCAGATGAGCCAACCCTCCCAAGATGTAACAAAAAGTATGATTACAGTACAGTAAAATAATGTATTACAGGAGTATGAGACATCATG